GTCCTTTAATGTAGAAGCTGCTAAATCTTGTGTTATCCTGATTGTGTTTCCACAACTTGAATTGTTTCTTTCTGGCTGCTTGTAATATTTTCTCCTTGACCTGGGAACTCTGGAATTTGGCTACAATATTCCTAGGAGTTTTCCTTTGGGGATCTCTTTCAGGAGGAGATCTGTGGATTCTTTCAATTTCTATTTTGCCCTCTGGTTCTAAAATATCAGGGCAGTTTTCCTTGATAATTTCTTGAAAGATGATGTCTAGGCTCTTTTTTTGATCATGGCTTTCAGATAGTCCAATAATTTTTAAATTCTCTCTCCTGGATCTATTTTCCAGGTCAGTTGTTTTTCCAATGAGATATTTCACATTGTTTTCTAATTTTTCATTCTTTTGGATTTGTTTACTGTGTCTTGATTTCTCATAAAGTCACTAGCTTCCAATTGCTCTATTCTAATTTTTAAGGAAGTATTTTCTTCAGTAAGCTTTTGGACTTCCTTTTCCATTTGGCCAATTTTGCTTTTTAGGGCATTCTTCTCCTCATTGGCTTTTTGGACCTCTTTTGCCATTTGGGTTAGGCTATTTTTTAAGGTGTTATTTTCTTCAGTATTTTTTTGGGTCTCCTTTAGCAAGCTGTTGACTTGTTTTTCATGATTTTCTTGCATCACTTTCATTTCTCTTCCCAGTTTTTCCTCTACTTCTCTTACTTGCTTCTCAAAATCCTTTTGAGCTCTTCCAAGGCCTGGGACTGATTCATATTTTTCTTGGAGGCTTTGGATGTGGGAGCTTTGACTTTGTTGTCTTCTTCTGGTTGTATGTTTTTCTTCTTTTTGTCACCAAAGTAAGATAATATAGTCTGACTCTTTTTGTGAGGTTTGCTTATGATCCCAGCCAACTACTTGAGTTTTAAACTCTTTGTTAAGGTAAGAGTCTGCTTCCAATGTGGAGAAGTACTCTGTCCCAAGCTTTTTGGGGTTTTGGTTAGCAGCTGTTTTCAGAGATACTTCTAGGGACCTGTAAATTTTCAGTTCTTCCAAGGTAGTATGATAAGGGTCGAGGTGTTTACTCTTTTCCTGGCCTGTGCTCTGGTCTTTGAGTGACTGGCCACAAGCAGTCTTTTCTGTCTTGGAATTGTGAGGAGGGTTTCCTCTTCACTGCCACTACAAGCTCTACCTTGCCAGCGCTTCTCCTCACCCCAGGACCACCATCCAAGCACGGGCAAAGCAAGAGATTCCTGCCTCAGCACCAGCAAAGAGATCCCTGCAGTCCCCCTCTGATCAGCCACTTGATGCTCCCTCAGTCTGTGGACCAGAAGCTCAGAACACAGCCATTGCCCCTGTGCCCATGCTCTGTGCTCTGCGCTCTGGAGCTGGCTCTGACCTAGCTCCTCTCTCAGCAAAGCAGAAACAGACTTTTCCCACTGACCTTCTGAGTTGTCTTCATTCGTGGACTGAGGAGTCTGGAAGCTGCCACAGCTGCCTATGATTCAGTCCTCTGAGGCCTGCTACAGGTTTGCTGTGGCCTGTGCGCCCATGCTGAACTGCGCTCCTCTTACCGCACCGCGTGATATACCTTTCTGATCAACCATCCTGGCTGTCTTGGGCTGGAAATTGATTTTACTCTGTCTTTTTGTGAGTTCTGCTGCTTTAGAATTTGTTTAGAGCCATTTTTTTAAACAGGTATTTGGAGGGGTTTGGGGGAGAGCTCAAGCAAGTCACTGCTTTCATGCTGCCATCTTGGCTCCGCCCCCCAGATGCATTCTTTATCTGAAAGTATTTGTGTCTAGATATGATAAAGTGGTAAATCTAGATATTATTTAGATATGATAAAATATAAATACGTGGTCTTAAAGTTCTTCTATTTAAACATTTAATGGCAATTAGTGGGCTTTACCATTAACATGTTAAAAAAAGTACTAGATTCAGTTAGGGAACTTGGCTTTGAATCTATGTTCAGCCACTGATGAGTTATCAGTCAATCAACAAGCATTTGTTAAAGCTACTACTATGCTCCAGGTCTTGTTTAAGGCACTGCAGATACAAAGACAAAAAATGAAGCACTTCCTCTCCTTAAGAAGCTTATTATAGTCAACAAGTGGTCCAATGGAGAGAGTATTGGACATCAAATCTGGAAGACTCTAGTTCAAATCCATTCTCAGACATTTGCTCATTGTGTGACCCTGCACAAATCACTCAATTTTTGTCTGCCTCATATTCCTCACCTACAAAATGAAGATAATAATATAACATTTGTAAGGCATTTTGTAAACCTTAAAGAACTATATAAATAAATATACATATGTAAAGCACTATGTAAATGTTAGTTATCATATTTACAAAATATGTACAAGCTGATTTTTTTCCCAGGGGGAGGCACTAGCAGTTGGAGGCATTGGGGAAGGTCTCATGTAGAAGGTAGTTTTTGAGCTGAGCTTTGAAATGAACTAAGGATTCTAAGTGGCAGAAGGGGAGGGCATGTTAGGCACGGGCAGGCACCCTATGCAGGATATGGATGTTTTTGTGTTTGAGAGACAGTAAGAATGCCAGTTTGGCTGGACAAAAGAGTATGGGGTGTGGTGTGGGAAGGGGATATAGAATAATGCTAGAAAAGTAGGTTGGAGTTGGGGTGTGAAGTGCTTTAAATACCAAACAGAGGAACTTATATTTGATCCCAGAAGTAATAGGGAACCACTAGAGTTTATTGAGCAGGGGAGTAACATGGTCAATCTGTGCTTTGGGAATATCATTTGGCAGCCCTGAGGAGAATGGATTGAAACCAGGAGAGACTTGAGGCAGAGAGATCATTTAGGGAGCTATTGTAGTAGTTCAGGCAAGAGGAAATGAGGGTCTAAGCTACAGTAGTAGTGATGTGAATAGAGACAAGGGGATGGATTGTGGTTGTGGAGACAGAATCGACAATATTTAGGGAATGATTTTCTTCTTCCTGCCCATAGGTAGACATAATTTAAGGGATATTTACTTACCCTCCATAGCTTATGGTCACTCAGGATCCAAGAATAAGAGTCCTCCTTGTGACAGTCCCGCAGGAGCCAACCTAAAGAGAAACAAGGGCCATTTGAGGAAGGGATCTTAGGCACTGGAGGTACAGAATTTCTTTTGATACAAGGTCTTGTTTGATAATGTACTGGTAAAGCAGTAGCTTCAAGTTTCTGCTTTGTAATAAATTCTCTTAGAAACCTAAGAAAAGTGGTGAATGAGATACAAGCATCAGAGGAGTCTACGGTGCTGGCTCATATAGCCTTTGTATGCCTAAAACAGGCAGCAATGGTCGATGAGAACATTGCTCCAGCTACATCACTTGAATGACTGCTTTTCCCCTGGTGCATACTTTTGTTCTTGCTCCCTTTGTGTCTCTTCACTGTGATGACTGGCTCTATTGACTATAGTTTCTTGGAAGGCATGGCTATAGCAAAGTATGTATGTTTTTGTTTACTTCTTCATCCAGGGCTCCAGGGCGTTTCCTTGCTGGTGGTGGCAATGAGTCTGAGTCCCTGAGGTAGATGCCATAAAGTGGGGCTAAAGACAATAAATGGACCTAACTTTGGAAGATGAAAATGGGGAAGATTAGCTGGAACTGTAACCCAATGAAAGTAATTGAGAGGACTTCAAATAGAGGGGAATGATAGCAAGGTGTGCCTAGAAGGAACACATACATGTACTTACAGTAACTACATAAACAGTAACACATCTATATAGATTAACATCTATTTATAAGACATTATTCACTATTCAGGTGATATACTTTTTATTATACTGAGTTTTTTCTTTTTCTATTTTTAAAAAGGAGATAGACCTTTTGTAGTTACATTGCAACAGGGTTTTTTGGCAAGCAGGTTGGCAACTCCATTAAATAATTTGTCATCATCTCTTCTAGCCCTATATTTTTAAGAAGCTCCAGTGGAAACACACACACATACATATGCACATATATATATATATATATATATATATATATATATATATATAATATATATATATATATATATGTATATATGTGCACACACATTTTATATACATATGTACATATAGATACACATACATATATATATGGGGGAGAGAGAGAGAGAGAGAGAGAGAGAGAGAGAGAGAGAGAGATTGAGAGAGAGAGAGAGATTTTGTTTAAAACTTTGTGAGCATGGGGAAATCTTCCTGCCTGAACTCACAGGTATTTCCATTTGGTGGAAGAGCTGCTCTTAGTAGTGGCATACAAATCAAGCCTATTCTCTCAGACATAATCTTTGAGTCACTGTAACAATTGTCAAATTGTTGGGTATTCTATATGGAAGTGAAAGAACTTGTGTTTGCTTTTCATCCCAGGCATTAGAAAAGGAAAGTACCTGTTAACTTCATTTACATTGCCCTGGGAGGTCAGTAAAGAATAGTTGAAGCATGAAAAAGCTATGATAAAAGACACATTTATTAAGCATCTCCTGTGTGTACAACACTGTGAAAGGTGCAGGAGGAGATACAAAGCTGAGATAAGTCACATTGTCTAGCTTCAAGGAGTTTACAATCTAGCAAGAAGAATACACTCACACAGCAGATAGCTATAGTACCCAACATTATAGGATAAGGCATTAGAGTTAAAAAAAAAACATCAAAGTTCTCTGTGAGGTTTGAAGCCAAAGGTTGTTATTAACAAGGAAGAGGGGGAACAAGGGAAGGCTTTTGAGCTAGACTTTAAAGAACGAGTAGGAGTTCAGTAAGGGAGGGCAGAAATTTTATGGGGATAACATGAGCAAAGGCAGATGTAGGTGAGTTCAAGCCATGTTTAGGGAATAGAGTTAGGTTGGGTCTCCAGTTAGGTTAAATATAGAAAACTAATTTTGAGATTAAATGTGGGGTTTTAGATAATGATAATGGAATTTATGGATCAAGACAATGAGACAGAAAGGAATTTCTGTTATTTTACAATTTTATGAGAAGAGGTAGTGGGTATAGAGCATATATTTCCAGTGGCTTCATTTGTTCCTTTTATTTATTTTAAGGGCATCTGTCCAAAAATAGAGTTTTCTACAAGGACAGCCATCAAAGAACTCACTTGTCCATTAAAAAGATTTTTTGTAAGTATAATTAAGAAAACTAGCACAACAAAAATGTTATATCTCTTTGCTACTAGTATTTGACTCAGAATGAAATTAAAGTATTTTAATCAAGTTTCAGTTTTGGATTAACAAAGTACTCTTATGAAGTTTAGATCTTTATTCAAACTGTCCAATCTGAATGTCAAAGCAATAGTGAGGCCTCCTTCAGAAGCATTCTGTATTTTTAGTTTAGCTCACTTGGCTAGAACAAGGTGTCATTGAGGTCAAAGTTATTTGATCCTGAATACATAGCTACTTGTGCTTTTATTCTTGCCCACAAATGTTGATGAGCTAGCTTGTAAATCTTCACCAGTGGTTATAAGGCAAACTGTGTGAAGAGCAGGTGGAGGAACACAGATTTATCACCATTCCTGGCCAAGCAAAGTAGTTTATGTCAGCTGATAGTTGTAGTAACCAGTCATCCATGCATGCACAAGACAACCAATGAATAATTTTAAGGTATTAATTAAACCTCAGGAAATTATAGTTATAGAATTAATTATAAACCTTGGGGGAATATATGTATGTATATATAATTATATACATTATAATTTGAAAATATAAATGACTTGTTTCATTAACTAGTTTTTGGTGGTTGAAAAAATGTAGGAAACTAAAATAGATTTTACTTCATCTAAGCATTGCCAAGAAAAATAAAAATAAAATATCTGAAGGTAAGTTTATAACATAACAATAATATTTTTTCCCACTAAAATAAAAAGTGTCATAAAGTAGATCAAGAAGCAAAACTCACCTATATCTTGCTCACAGGAAACACATTTAATGGAAAAATATACTGCTAAATTGAAGTGAAGAGGTGGTTCTAAACCATATTATTTACCTACAATTAAAAAATGGAGGAATGGCAGAAACAATATCTGATAAAATAAAATTCAAACCAGAAAACATTGAGAGACAGGAGAGGGCATCACATAATGGTGAAAAGAAAATGAGTAATATGCAGATAAGAACAAATTGCATTTTGCATGTACCAAACAATTTGACAATTAAATTAATAAAAGAAGAAACTGACAAAAGTTTTATAATAGGAGACTTCAATGCTTCATTATCAGATTATGATAAATTAAATAAACAGATTAACAATAAAGAAAGCACAGGTCTAATTTGCTAATTTAACAAAATAGAATTTAAAATATTTGGAGACAGCTAAATGGAACAATTGGTTAATAAACACAAAAACTGATGACAGAATAGGTCACAGAGCAGTCCTACGTGAATTTTTTTAAAAAACAGAAAATATACAGGCTATCTTGTTAGATCATAACTAAATAGAATTAGAACCATAAAGTTTTAAATCAAATGAAAACTGAAAAACAATCTATTAAGCCATGTTTGGCTTAAAGATGAAATAAGAAAAATGATACCAGAATGTTTAAAAATCTGACAACAATAACACCACATTTCAAAATCTTATTTGATTTTCTTTCTGTACGTGCATTTTTGTATTGCAGTCCTGTTTTGGAAAGTGTCTCAGTTGTTCTAAATTCTCTACTGTTTTCTTAGATTTACTGATTTCTTTCTAAAAGTTCTAATTTCAGGGGCAGCTAGGTGGTGCAGTGAGTGAATAGAGCACCAGCCCTGGACTTAGGAGGACCTGAGTTCAAATGTGGCCTCAGACCAAACACTTGACACTTACCAGCTGTGTTACCCTGGGCAAGTCACTTAACCCCAACTGCCTAAAAAAAATGTTCTAATTTCTATCCCTTTTTCTGATGTCTAATTCTTTTATTGTTTATCTGAAACATTCTTATATTCTTGGAACTGCTTCATTGTTCTTTGTGGGGCTTCATATAATTTACTATGATATTTTCACCTTCCTTAGAAGCCAGTGTGGTATGGTGGCTAGAGAACTGGCTAGGAAGACTGAAGTTCAAATCTGACACAAACATGCTGACTCTGTAACCCAGGGCAAACCATTTAATCTTTCAATGCTCCTCAATTCTTTAAGATTATACATTGCAGAGAAGGGACTGACATACATTGGTGGAAGGGGTTTCTTTATCCAAGAGTTCTAATGCCAAGAAAATTACAGATCCTGTCCTTATATTTGCCATATTTTAGCTGTTACTCTGAGGCTGACCTTGGTGGCATAAGACTGCAATCCCTGCTATGTGGGAGGCCAAAGGTGATGGATCTTGAGGTGGGAATTTTGAGTTGCAGGAGGGCTCAGCTCATTGTGAGGAAGCTGTATGTACAGGGTATCCCAAAAGTCCTATTACAGTTTTAAGCTTTAATAACTTAAAACTGCAACAGGACTTTTGGGACACTTTGTAAATATGAATTATAATTATTATATTACAAATATTGGTGATATTGGGATTTGAATCAAATTGTCCTAGAAAACAAGAATTGGGTTAAAAAATGCTCTCTTAGAAGTTCATAGAATAGGGGCAGGTAGGTGGCTGAGTGGATAGAGCACTGGTCCTGGAGTCAGGAGGACCTGAGTTCAAATCCAGCCTCAGATGCTTGACACTTACTAGCTATGTGATCCTAGCCAAGTTACTTAATTCCAATTGCCTCACAAAAAAGGAAGTTCATAGAATAATAGGATTTAGTGCCCTAAGAAATTTTAGTGGTCATCTAACCCAACCATTTCCCTTCACCCATTTTATTTTTATTATCTAAAAAAATCAATTTTATATTATTTTCAGTTTCAGATTCTTTCCTTTCTCCAATTCCCTTCCCTGTGCATTAAGAAGGCAAGAAATACAAAACCCATTACAAATATGAAGTCATATATTGATGAGTAAACTAAAGATTAGAGAGAGGTCACATAGGTAGTGAGAGGAAGTAACCAGGATTCAAATCTGATTTCAGATGAATGTCCTAAGTAGAAAAGGTGAGGCTACTCTCAACTCCTTAACTTGTATTTAGATGGTGGGTTTCAATCCTATTTTCTCTTTATCCTTCTTTTACATTATTATTATTATTATTATTATTTTTTATAGGAAGAAAGATTGCGACATTTGAGGCCTGCCTCTGCTTCATGTTTTAAACGAGTGCTCAGTCCTCATTTACAGAACTTAAGAACCACGACGAAGGAGAATATTCATGAGAAGCTCAGCAGAAGCTTACGGTCTCGTTCTCCATCACCACACATGATCCGGCGCCTTTGCCAGGAGGAGCGGCCATTGAGGCCGAGCCCTGGATCTCGTGGCTTCAAACCTCGACCAGAAACCAAACCTCCATTTGTAGTTAGACATGTAAGGCTTAATACCACTCTACACAGACCTTTGGAATAGGGTGGGAACAATGAGGAGGTGGCTGGGAGAGAAGGAAGCTTGTTGCAAAAATAAATACATAAATGGGGAATTAAAGAGAAGCCTGCAGTTGTATAGTATATCTATCCGTGTCTTTATGCAAACATCTGGATATTTGGTATTACAGAGGCAAAATGTTTAGATGTATCATTGAATTTTTCACTTGGGTATCACATAGCAGGCACATGACTTCCATTGAGGTTTTATTCCTACCTGTAGAATGGGGACAGTAAAGATCTGGTGTTGTAATTTGTCCATCAGAGAGGCTCTTCACGAGGCCTTTGACTTTTTTCACTCAAAAGTCATAAAGATGGTTACCGTCTGCCATGGTGGAAGGAGTCCTCACATTTACAAAGTCACACATTGTGAGCTGAATCCATTTCCTCTTAGTTAGAGAATGATTTCAGTTTGCCAAAAAGTACTGGGTTAATTTAATCATTCAAATTATTTCAGCTAGTTTTATAGTTTTTTTTTTTAAAAGAAACTGTTTAAAAAAGACCTGGTATTTAAAATTTTTTATATCATCATGATTCTCCCTCATATTACTTCCTCTATACCTTCCAGAAAGCTATCCCAAATAACAGTTTTTTTTAAATACAAAAAAAAAGGAAGAGGAAAAAATCAGCAATACACTGGACGTGTCTGAAAATATGTGCAATGTGCCACATTTGTTAACCTTACTTCTGTGGGGGGGGTATAGGGGTTTCTTCTTATATCTTTTATTTTTGAAGTTCTGCTCATTCTTTGTAATTTTGCAACTTTCGCTTTTGATTGTGTGTGTTTCCATTTACATTGTTGTAGTCTTGTAATCCTTGTTTTCTTGGCTCTGCTTACGTCATTCTATACCATTTCATGCAGATATTTCCATGCTTCTCTGTAGTCATCATATTTGCCATTTCTTACAACATAGTAATATTTAATTACATTTATGTACCACAATACTAATTTGATTGTATCCCAAAAATTTTGGTATGTTGTCTCATTGTTTTTATTTTTTAAAAATGATATGCTCTGTTTCTATGATTTGTTCATTGACCCACCAATTCTTTAGGATTCAATTATTTAATTTCCATTTAAATTTTGATTATTTCTTCAAATATCCTTTATTTATTGCAGCCTTCTGGTCAATAAAAGGTGTGTTTAATATTTCTGCTTTAAAATTTTATTTATGAAGTTTTTATGCCTTAGCATGTGATCAATTTTTATAAAGATACTTTGTACCTGTGAGAAATATATGTATATATGTACATTTGTAATATTATATATAGCATTTATGTGTACATACATATGTTTCTTTTTATTGCTGTGCATTACTCACCAGAGATCCTTCATATCTAACTTTTCTAAAATTCTATTCAGGTCCCAAATTTCTTTCTTCTATATAATTTTTTTGTTAGACTTGTCTAGGTCTGAAAGGGATGCATGAGATCCCCAACTACAGAATATATATTATACTTGGGATTATACCTACTAAGGCATAGATAGGAACTATATGAATACAATTACAAAATAGTCTTTATGGTAATAAAGACAGAAATAAATGAAATAATTGCTTATGGTCAGACCAAGCTAATATAATGCAAAGGATAATGTTTTTATATAACACACACACACACACACACACACACCACACATATATGTATACATGTGTGTATATATGTACATATATTTATAAATATATGTGTGTATTTACATTATATATACATATACATATATACATATACACACACACACACACATATACATAGTTAGGTGGCTCAGTGTATAGAGTGGTGGGTCTGGAGTCAGGAAGACTCTTCCTGAGTTCAAATCCAGCCTCAGACACTTACAAGCTGTGTGACCTTGGGCAAGTCAGTTAGCCCTGCTTGCTTCAGTTTCCTCATTTGTAAAATGAGCTAGAGAAGGAAATGGCTGCCCCAAAATATTTAGAAATGTCTTTTCCATTTGGACCCAGAAGAGGACATCCTCCCAGAAAATGTCAAAAACCTTTGGCAGGGATAAATTTCTCTGTTTTATGGCTTTCTTGACATTAGTAATCAGTGGGTTGTTGAATAAAGTTATTTCTATAATTGCTTTTAAGAAGAAATCTTTTCTGATTTTGACATATATATGAGTGATTCTTTAGAGGAGAGTCTTTAAAATCACATTTTGCTCTATTGAGTCAAATTCTTTTCTTTTGTTGCACTCAACAAACAATAAACACAATGGAATTTTCTATTTTTTTTGTGCCTTTCAATCAATTATATGATTATAAAGGTGTGGCTTACTAAAATTATTTTACAAAAGTCTACCTGATTACCTCTCATATTTTCTCCAAGGTTATATACTTCCATACATGTGTAGATGATCCCTATAAAATGTATATAGTTGAGAAAGTACCCATAGGAGTCAGTAGTAATTAATATCCTCTTAATTCCTTTTTTAAGGGTGATAATTTTGTATTTTGATTTGTTTTGTGGGCTACTCTGGCCATCATCTCATGTCTAACCTACTGATAGTGAGTCTTTCATACTTAGCTAGGTTGATCTTTGGATAACGGACTCAACATTTCACCAAGAATGTGCTTGAAGCTTTTCTAGGTTAATCCATGCTAGAATTTATACTCCTCTGGCATGGCTTTTGTTAATCGAGGGTTATCTCTGCTCTATGATAAGTCATCACAGTAGGACAACATCATATATCCTTTAATGTACTAAAAATATCTAAATTGCTTTGCAACTTCTTCCTTTTTAGCCTGCAGGACTCTGAGTTCAGTAAAGGAAACAGCAAATAGGTTAAACAGGTTCTGGTGGTGTAAGAGGTTGGGGCTACCCAGCTGCACAGATACTGTGGTTATATTTCTGCATTTCTGGGCTGAAACGAAGGAAGGGTTTAAGGCTTAGCTATGTGTAAAGGGTAAAAGAAGTTTCCATATGAAGAGAATATAGGACTAAAAAGGACCCAATCTGGCTTTCTGGATGGATATTAGGATTCTGCATCCTTTGGCAGAAAAACAATTATTACTAGTACAGGCATTAAAAATCACCTAATGGAGCAGATAGGTGATGCAGTAGATAGTGCTCTGACCTTGGAGTCAGGAGGACCTGAGTTCAAATCGTCGAATTTGACACTTAAACTTACACTGACAGTTAAAACTTACTAGCTGTGTGACCCTGGGCAAGTCACTTAACCCTGATTGCCTCACAAAAAAAAGAAAATCACTTAGCTATGTTTCCCCTACCCCTCCTGTCCAACATCACCCCCTTTTATAGCCTTTCCACTATTCCTTGAAAGATGCTGCAGATCTTTCATAGGAATCTAACTAATTGTTATTGTGAAAGTAACATTTGCAAGTACGAGGCAAAGTTGCCTGAGAAACTGCTTCCTCAGTCTCTAAAATGTCTCTTTTACTCAACTTGTTTCTTTTTTGCTAAGAATTTTCATACAGATGAACAAGGGAAAAAAGAAAGCCTTAGTTTTCAAGTTGGGAAAAGGAGAAGTATGTGTCAGGCTTATCTTGGAAGAACAAGATTTCCTAGCCCATTCTCTGCTGCTGGCATCATGTCAAATTTTCATGGAATACTAAATTTTGTTTCATGTCATTCCTTTACTTTTAGGTAGACAGTTCAAAGCCATTTGGCGAACAAATTCCTTTAAAACCACACACTCAAAAGTCCAGGAAAAATGCTGACTTTGCATGCTTTGATTTTCCACTGAAAAGAGGTATTTTGGTTTCTTCTCTTTTCCTCCTATCATGTGTCTAATGGGATTCATACTTCATACTGCTATGTGGGCTTTCATACTGTGGAAGCCCAAGTTACTTTATAAATTATGAGCTCAATTATCACCCAGGGGAGCTTTATGGAGTTTATGGGCAAGGGATTTCCCTAGATAAATGACAAATAAAAATTCCCATTTCTGAAATGTGTATGTATGTATCATATAAGTACTGCATGAATTGCCTAAATAAGGCTTGTAGAAGGAATTGATGGATTTGATCTGAGGTCTGCCCCTGAGGAGAGGAGGAAAGTAGACGGCTGGGGACAAGGAAAGGAGGAGAGAAGGAAGAGGTAAGCCTCAGAGTGCCACCAGTCTGGGTCTTCTTTTAGCTAGGCTACCAGACTAGAATTATATCAGTCTGCTCCCTAAATACTGTTGGTCTAGGAGTAAAGTACAAGAGATTCAATATAAAAAGCCACTTTCCTGGTTGCTCTCAATGGGAAAAGATTAGCATCTGCAGGCTTAGCTCCTCACCAAACTCTAGTTTCACCCATCACAAATGATGAATAGCAAATACATTTATTTATCCAAATAGATAGCAAATAGAAATGGGAGAAATTATGCAGATGTGCAGAAAATATGCAGAATATATGAGCTTTTAAGATGAGAACAAGATGAAATCTCAATTCACCCAAGAGAAAGTCCCTAATCTCACTCAATGGGAAATTCCCAGAAGTTTCTGTGGAGACAGCCTGGAAATCAAGGATATTTAGAGTAACTAGCTTCCCCAACATGTCCATAGATTCCAAAGTCTGGCTCTTTCTCTGTACGTTTCTGGAGTTGGTCCCCAAAAAAGTCTGCAACCATCCACATTTCCTCTCAAAGAAAGAATGAATGTTTCCCTTCTGTTATACCCTTGCACCAACTCTGCCCCCCATACCGACACACTGCTTTGTATCAGCATTCTCTCCTCTCCACCACTCTATAGTCATGGTCTGCAGCCTGCGTGCTCCCTGATAGGGCTGCCCCTCCTTCATCCAGGTTGGGTGGGAGTCAGGTTATATTCCTTTAGCACTTTAAATTATACAAAGATTGCTACTTATTACCTGCGTAATCTGCTTTTGCTTTTTGAGCCTCAGTTTCCTCATACATAAAATGTTGGGGTTGTATTAGATGATCTCTAATGTCCCTTATTGCTCAACATTTATGACTCAATAAGTAAATAGCTTGATAAGGTACAATATTGTTCTTCCCAGTTTGGAAATAAAGAAGTACGGTATAAGGAGGTTAACTGACTACTCTCCCACACTCGTACAATACATTTTAGAGGCAAGATTAGAGCTCATATTTTCCCATTCCAAGACCAGAGCTTTAGTGAAATCAACTGAGACATGACGCTTTTGATAGCTTTCTTAGCTAGGAAAGGAACATAGAGAAAGGAATTCTGTGGACTTGTAATAAAATTTATATCTTATCTGAGCTAAAGAATAAAAATATATGTTTTTGTACTGATGTGAAGTCTTTGATAAAGCACTGGCTTTTTAAATCTAAAAAATTAGTAGTTGCCAAACTTCTGAATGTGGACAGGTGACTGATGGGGAGAAGGGAAAGTGGTCTGCTTCTCCCCAAAATTCTGTATGAGCAGAAGGGGAAGGTCAATTGTAATGTTAAAATTATAGTAAGTCATTTGGTGGCTATGTTTCCCTTTTGATTTGAACCACAAGATTTATTTCATTGAATTGAACAATCTTAACAATTTGAAAGGGAATGTATAAAATGTTGGATCTGGAAGGAACCATCTAATCCATACTCTTCTCATCTTTTTTTTTTTTTTGGCTAGGCAATGGGGTTAAGTGACTTGCCCAGGGTCACACAGCTAGTAAGTGTTATGTGTCAGGATGGATTTGAACTCAGGTCCTCCTGAATCCAGGGCCGGTGCTCTATCCACTGCACCACCTAGCTGCCCCTTCTTCTCATCTTATAGACAAGGAAACAGACTACAGAGGAGGTGATTTGCTCAAAGTTCCACAGCTAATTAATGATAGATCCAGGTCTTGAATTCAGGTCTTTTGCCCTATGTACTCATTGTTTTCCCCATTAAGTCACAGTTGACCTTCTTTCACAGGTCTGTTTTCTTCCCTCCAAAAAGTGAACAGTCACTGACATTCCATCACTGACAATCAGCTGTCTCCAATTTCCATTCTTCCCAGATAAAAGGAAGCTACAACTTCCTTTTGTAACAAATTGCTAGTGTTTTTTTTTTGTTCCAATGACTGAGAACTATCAACCAAGATATATCCAAAGGGATTTGAACAGAAAGTGATTAATCATATTGGATGTTTAATTGAACTAGTCTAATTGAATTTTGCCAGACTTGTCTCTAAAAGTTACTCAGTTCTCTCCGTTACTAGGAAATCTTAGTTTGCAAGGTTACTTCCAGGGAAGGGCACATGGAGATGAATTCTCATTTAGCAGTGGTAGAATAAGTTATCTCTAAAGACTTTTTTGGTTAAGATATATAACACATGCAGAGTCAAAGGCTCAGAGAAATGGAGAGTCATGTGAAGACCATATAAGAAATCTATGGCATTAGAGTTGCAATTAAAGTGGATATCCAGGCCCCCAACTCTAGTTTCAATTCCTAGATCAGTCTTGGACACTTACCACCCATGTAACCTTGGACATTTAGCCACCCTGGGCACCTCATTTTGTTCCTCTTTAAAATGAGGGGGTTGAACTTAGAGCTCTAAAGACCTCTAGGTCTGTGATCCTGTGTGATCCTGTGATGCTTCAATGTCTCCTCATGACATGGAAATAATCTTAAAGATAGCTGGGTGGCAGAGTAGGTTGTGTCTGGCCTTGGAGTCAGGAAGACCTGCATTTAAATCCAGCCTCAAACACTTCCTAAGCTCTGTGACCCCAATCAGGTTACTTAAATCTCTATTTGCCTCAGTTTCTCCATCTATAAAATCAGGATAGTAATAGCACCTTCCTCCCAGAGCTATTACTATCCTATTATTGAAGGGTAAGTGAGAGGAAAGCACACTTGGGCATGTCATATTCTGCTGGAAAGGTTTTGAGTATGGCCCCAGAAGTAGGCTAAGTATAGAGAGGCTTATATGATTAGACTGGCAGCAGATGATAATTCTTTGGTCTCAGTTTTCTCATCTATAAAATGGGGATAGTAATAGCACCTATATCCCTAGGTTATTGTGAGGATGAAATGAGGTAATATATGCAAATCATTGTGCAAACTTTAAAATGCTGTATCAGTCAAGAAGCCTTTATTACACACACCCACACATACTAATGTAGTTTGGGGAGTATGCAAGCTGCTGGATGAGGTGAGAGGTCTGGACCATGAAAGGCTTCAAGTAAAAGGCAGTGCAAGATCCAGTTATGTACTCTTAGAGGTACAGATGAAGAGGGTGTCCATTTCCAGCATGGGAAATGACCAGAGCAGAGGCCCAGAGACAGAAGATGGAGAACTCTGTGTGAAGAACAGCAGGAAGGCCAGTTTGGCTGTCCATAGAGTTCAGGAAGGGGAGTAATATATAATGATATGGAAAGATAGGTTGGAGGGAGGATGTAAAGATCTTTAAATGCCGAACAGAGGAGTTGCTATTTTGTGCTAGAGGCAACAGGGAGCCCCTGGAGTTTACTGAGTAGGGGAATAACATGGCCAGACCCTCATTTAAAAAGAATCGCTTTGGCAATTGTGTGGAGGGTAGACTGAAGAGGAAAAGAAACTTGAGGTTGGGAGAGCAGTTAGGCTACTCTACTAGTCTAGGTAAGAGACTGAATTAAGGTTATGTGAATAGTGATAAGGGGCTGGATACAGGAGATTTCGTAGAAGTATTGATTTGTCTCATGATTGAGTTGTCTCACATAAGTGTGAGTTATGCTGCTGCTGTTGCTGCTGAGACAGCATTGCCCAAGAATCAGGAAGATTTGAGCTAAAATCTGGCTTCTGTGACACATTAGCTGTGTGACCCTGTGCAAGTCCTTAACTTTTCACTACTCCAGGAAACTCTCTAAGACTATATTGCGGACCAATTGCTAATCTTTGGTAGAGGGAGCTTCCCCATCAGAAGTTCCCTACACCAATGACATCATAGGCTTGGCCACCTCCCTCCCCATGTCCCTCCTCTAAATGTTATTATTTCCTCTGGAAGTTTAACTGATGTAGAGCAACATGCACAAAAGGGCCCTGGAAACTGCCACAGTCAGCAAACTCTTGATTTCCTTGCCAAGTAGAGAGATATGGCAGATTTAGAGTACAGTCTAGTTTGAAATACACACACACACACACACACACACACACACGTATATATATGTATGTATGTGTGTATGTGTGTGTGTGTGTGTATATATATATATATTTATGTGTGTGTGGAGGATGATATGGAAGATGATGAATGAATGAGCAAGGCATTTATTAAACATTTACTATGTGCAAAGCCCTGCGCTAAGCATTGAGGATGCCAAGAGAAAAATATAAGCAAGGCCTTCCTCTCCAGGCAGTCACATTCTAATGGGGGAGATGATACTCATAAAGGTTTCAACTGCAAGATAGAAAGGTCCTGTAGTCCTTAGGGGACAGCAGTGAAGCAGATAGTAATGCCTACTCTTTTGTGTCATTTCTACTAATAAAAAAATTTCATTTTGGATGTTGAACCATTTAACATCACCAAGGGCTTTGGGGACAAGAACTTTCTTTTCTGGGTCTTTAATAAATGTGAGTATAGCACCTTGTAGGAGCACTTGCAAAGCTGCACCTCTACAGGAGTAGCTTCCCAGGATGATGGCCACAGGCAGCAATCCAGCAGGGCTGAAAGTGTCACTGTTCCCAAGGCTCTTGGGATGTTTCCACTGGGGTCTGAGGGAAAGTGGTCTGACTTGTTTGGCACAAGCTACCTCCTGTCTCTCCCTCAGAGTGCTTGGCTGCTCCACCTAGGCTGATGTGTCTGTCCTTTGGGTGGCACTTGGTGAGCAGTTAGTAGGGGTCAGTGCCCTCCTCTCTACAGGAGTTGACTTCCCTAGATGATGGCTGCAAAGGTTGGCCTGGGAGTGGGACCAGCAGCACCATGATTTCCAGGGCTCTTGTTCCCACGTGCCCAAGGGTGGTAGTTGGTCATCAATTGCTGCTGGCTTCAGTACACTCCTGTTCAGAATCTTTGCTTAATCTTAGTCTGAACAGGCTAAGAAGCAATGTGATTTCAAACCTCTAGCTGTGTGACCCTAGACAGATCACTTAACTTCTCAGCAAACTCCCTATAACTTATCTACAGCATCATAGATGGGGTGAAATTTGTGCTGATAAAGGGAGTTTTTGTACTGGGAGTTTCAAACAGTAATGAAATTGAAGATGTGAATTTGCAGATAACACTCTATACTTTTCAAAGCATTTTCATCTCATCATTTGACCCTAATAGAACAACATAATATCATAGGTAGGACACAATACATATGAATATCTTCCTAGGAAGTATAGTTAGGATTCATTGACAGCATTCCAAGGAAGAGTCAGTCTACAATCATTTACTAAGTATTTGTTATATGCCAAGAACTGTACATGTGAGGAAAAGGGGTAAGGCAAGATGAACAGTGTATTCAAAATGCCCCCAAGGCGTATCTTGTTGTCTTCTAGCAACAGCATAAGTACTTTCTCCCCTTGCTTGGACTAAAGTGGATACTTCTCTTTTAAGGGGTTTTATCTTCATTGCAGCCACAGTATTTTGTCCTAAGGATGATAATTACTGCTAGTATCAAGAGACCAGAAACTCCACCATTTAAATGTCTGTGTCTTAAGGAAGACTTCACCTGCAGTCAGGATCTAAGGTGGTAGCAGGCTCTGAAAAATGATAGCTGAAATCAAAAGTGAGCAATAAAGTATGGTAATTGATTACATTGAGTTCCCCCCCCCCCGTGCTACAATTTAGGAACTTAGCAGCAGATTTAAGAAATGATTGGAAATAATGGGTCATTGAAATTTCTTTTCCTCTTTTTCCAGCTTCTTCTCTTGACAGTATTGCAGCTGACATGAAGGTAATTTAAAAAAAGTTCTGTGGATGCCTTTTGTTTTTACATTGATTTCCAAATATCAGAATATTCCTGCTTACCTCCACTCTTCTCCTTTCCCTTTCCCAGTGAACTTTATCTTGTAATGAAGCTTAAAAAATTCAGGAAAACTAACACATCAATCGCATCTGATAGCATATGCAACATTCCACACTCATGAGGATAATTATAAAAGTAACATATCTAAAACGACACATTTTCAACTCTGATCTTCTGGCAATAGTTACATTTCTTTAGTCAACGGTGGAAGAATCTCTCTTTGTCTTTCTATAACTTCACACCATTTGCCTCACTTGTCCCAGAAGGAAGGAGAGTCCTTGCCTGATCCAGTCATTCCATTGCCCCCACCCCCCCCACCCCATGACCTCCTACAACTCCACATCTGTTGCCTCTCATCCCCTTTCCCCACCCCTCCTCCAGCTGTACACTGATGTCTGTGACTCCACATTATTGGTGAGTCTATGTCTAGAACCTCTATGTTGTTCAAAGATCTAGCTAGCCTTATTGCTCATTCTTCACTTCCATCTTGGTCCACCTCTAGCTCTGGCCCCCTAGGGATTATGATAACCTGAACTCATTCCTCAATGATTTAAACATTTTTTTAAAATTACATTTGAGTTCCAAACTATTTCCCTCTCAACCCTGCACTAGAGAAGGCCAACATTTGACACAGATATATATGTGAAGCTATATAATATATAGTTCCATATATCAGTTCTTTTCTATTTTTCCTCTTTCTCTCTTTCTGTTTACCCCATCCCTTCTCAGAAGTCTAATTTTCTGACCATTGCCTCCCTAATCCATGCACCCTTCTAGGAGTCCCTCCCTTATCCTATCCCCTTGCCCTCCTAATTTTCTGTAAGTTAAGAAGACTTTTATGCCCTATTAAATATATGTTATACCCTCTTGAAGCCAGTTCCAGTGATTATAAGGTTCCCATACTACCCACCTTCCACACTATCCTCCCCTCCACTGTAACATTTCTTCCATTCTTGCCTCTTTTGTATGAGATAATTTGCTCCATTTTACCTCTTTGTACCTAATTTTATTTTTTTAGGATCATCCCATCATAATAAACTCAACCCCAAGCCTTTTATCTATACATACTCTTTTGAACTACCCTAGAAATGGTAACATTTTTAAGAATTACAAATATCATTTTCCCACATAAGAAGAAAACAATTTAACCTTATTAAGTCCCCTATAGGGATTAGTCTTTCACATTTACCTTATGTTTCTCCTGATTCTTATAAGTCAAATTTTTTGGTTCAGTTATAGTCTTTTCCTCAAGAATACCTGAAAGTCCTTTAGTTCATTAAATATTAATTTTTTTTCCTTTGCAGGATTGTACTCAGCTTTGCTGGATAGGCTATTCTTGGTTGCAAAACAAGCTCCTTTGCTTTTGGCAATATCATATCCCACACCGGTCTTAATGTAGAAGCTGCTAAATCTTGTGTTAGCCTGACTGTAGTTCCACAATGTTGATATTGTTTCTTTCTAGTGCTTGTAATATTTTCTTCTTAAACTAGGAGCTTTGAAACTTAGTTATAATGTTCCTGTGAGTTTTCATTTTGGGATCTCTTTCAGGTGGTGATCAGTGGATCTTTAAGATTTCTATTTTACCCTCTACTCTAGAACTACAGGGCAATTTCACTCAATAATTCTGGAAGTATAGTGTCTAGACTCTTTTGATCATAACTTTCAGGTAGTCTGACAATTCTTATATTACCTCTCCTTGATTATTTTCTAGGTCAGTTGTTTTTCTAATCAGATGTTTTGCATTCACTTCTTTTTTTTACATGTTTTTCAATTTTTAAAAATTATTTCTTGATGTCTTACAAAGTCATTAGCTTCTCTTGTCCAACTTTAATTTTTAAGGAGTTATTTTCTTTGGTAAGTTTTTGGATTTCTTTTTCTAGTTGTTTGACTTCTTTTAATAATTTTCTTGCTTTTCTTACATTATTCTTATTTCTATTCCCAATTTTTCCTCAATCTTTCTTGATTTTTAAAGTTTTTTTTAAAGTTGTCTAAAGAAATCTTTTTGGGCTTGTGACCATTATAAATTTTTCTTTGAAGCTTTCTAAGAAACTGTTTTGTGTTCTTCTGAGTTTGAATCCTGATCTTCTCTATCACCATAGTAGGTATCTGTGGTATCTAATGTTTATTCATTTTAATGACTTGTTTCTTGGCTGTTACCTTATGTTAAGGTCAGGCTCTGCTCCTAGGGCATAGGGGATAATGTCTTAGGCTTTAGGTTTTTCATGGCATCATTTTCTGAACTTTATCTGGGGGCATTTGACCTTTTGGTTCTTCCAGTGTTCTATAATCCAAGGCCAGGTGTGGTCATTGATCCTCTGGTTCATGCCTTTGTCTATAAGTGACCTCAGATACTCCTCTTTCCCCCTGAACCTCAACCAGGACTCCCAGCACCACTGCCTGGAAAATGCCCTTGTTCCTGTGGTCTCTCAGGTGGCTGTAAGGATCATCTTGACCCTCTGCCCTGGAACCAAAACCAGGTTGCTGCCTACACAGCTTCCCCCTGTTTGTTGTATCTGTCAGCTGTATCTGCCTGGAAGTCTCTGCACTTCAGTTGACCAAACCATCACCCCAGTGGATTAGACATTTCCTAATGTCATCCCAAGTTTTCTTAGGCTGGACAACTGCTTTACCCCGATTTTTAATCATTTTTGCCACTCAGAAATTTACCTTAAGTTATATATAGGGAATTTGGGAGACCCAGGTAATTTCCTGCCTCATTCTGCCATCTTCCCACAATCCCTCCCCACCCCCGATGATTAATGTACTCCCACCTTTTATAGTCTGTCCATACCAGTGATTTTGAAATACCCAGCTATCATTGTGCAAGCCCCATTCTGCATCTGCCATTGCCTAGCCCCCATTCCCATATCTCTACCACAGTATCCCACTCTGAAACTACTCACCCCTTCCACTGTGCCCCCTGGAATAAATGCCTGCTCCATAGGTTACAAATTTTAAAATTTCATTTTAAACATTTTCCTTTTTCACTCCTTTCATCTTCTTGCACTCATTGAGACCTGGCTCCTTCCTGATGACATAGTTTATCTGGCCACCTTCTTTAGCACTGCTTGCACTTTCACTGTTATCCTTCTTGGAGGGAGATGTAGAATATTCCTTGCTCCCTATTGTCGTGTCCAGACTCCCTTTCTACCACCAATACTCTACCACTTCCTTCGAGGTTCAAATGATCCATATTTATCACTAAGTCAATATTCTGGTAGTTGTTATCTACCAATCTACAGGACACTCTCCTTCCTTCCTCAGTGGGTTTAGTGGTTTGCTCATAGTCTTTCTCTTCTTCCCAACTCCTCTTCTCATACTAGGGAACTGCAACATATTGATACTCCTTCAAACATCTTACCTTTCCAGTTCCTTAACCTAACTCATTTCTCATAACTTACTCCTCCATCTTTCTCAGCTACACACAGAGATAATCATATGCTTGATTTTGACATCCACCACAATTGCTCCATTTCCATGCTTGTGAACTATGAAATTCCTTTATCTGATCATAATCTGTTCTCATTCCATATTTCTTTCTGCCTTGCAACCCTTAACCCTATTTTTCATCTACACTGGTATTTCCAATACCTTTGCCCCTTTCCCCCCACTGATCATATTCTCCTGCCTTATCCATAACAACCCTTAGTGAATCAGGTCAACGTTACACCGTCCTCTTCTTTTTAGTTCCTTTTCCCCTTATTCTATTACCTATCTTGCCTTGCTAAGCCCTCACTTCAGTTAGAATTTCCTTACAGAAAGGGTTCCAAAAAAAGCAGGCAATAGTCATTTATTAAGTACTTACTAATCATCTCTTAGTTGCCAAATCCAATGGCCTTTCCTCTGTCCTCATCCTTCTGGACCTCTCTGTAGTTTGTGACAGTGTTGACCAGCCTCTTCTTGAGATTTTTTTCTCTCTAGGTTTTCATAATAATGCTCTGTCCTGGTTTTCTTCTTCTCCTTCTTGTCTGACTGCTCCTTCATAGTCACCTTTGCTGGATCTTCATCTAGGTCATGCCTGTTAACCATGGGCATCCCTCATGGCTCTACCCAGGGTCCTTCTCTTTTCCTTCTATACTATTTCACTTGGATATCTCACCATCTGTCATGGATTCAGTTACCATCTCCAAGCAAGTGATTCTCAGATCTGGACTTATCTGAATCTCAGATCTATTTATCCAGCCAAATCCTTTCTCCTCTTCATTCTTGCATCTCCAACCGCCCAGTGGACCCCTTGAACTGGATGAAGTGCTGGGAAGACAAAAAAAAAAGGCAAAAACATGGTCCCTGCCCTCAAAGAGCTCAGATTCTAATATCTATATTACAGCATCACAATCGATGTATAGTTAGGCAATTGAAAAATCCTAGATATGCTTGGAGGATATTCCTGGCTGTGTATCGGATGTCTCTACTTCTAGCCAAATGTGGAGAGGCTCAGCAAAGTAAAGCTGATCACCAATTAAGGAATGATTTTGGCACCCATGAAGACCTTTTGTTAAGACATGGAAGGGTAGAGATCCTCACAGGTAGAGGGAACACCAATATTAATGAATTGATCTCTGGAAGTATTAAAAAGAAACAGGGTTTTTCCATCCACTCAAGATTTTGCTCTGTGATCACAGACGTAGATATTATTTATTTGCATTTTGACTTCGAGAGCTTAACATTATCTTTCCAGCTCTCCTAACCCTCTTCATATTTTCAGGAAATGGCTGTGTACTCAGTTTTCTTCCTTCTCCTGATTTTCTTGTCTTCCCTCAATTAAAAAAACCCAATTAAATAATAAAGCATGTTGTCTTCCAGATTTTAAGGGATCAAGCAGAATGGATTGCTCGGAGGCGTGAAATGTTATCTCCATATTCAGATAGATTTGGAAATATCTCATCTGGTCATGGTAACCAAGGGGATTCCAATTTTCACCATTCAACTTCATTTGCTGTCCGTCAACATCGATCACCTAGTCCACCTCTGCATTGCCTTCACCAACGCAGGTTTGCATTCTAGAATAATTGTAGACCTGTTGCTTGAGAGTACATCATTAGGAGTCAACCAGGAAGAGATCAGACATAGTTAACTTCTTTAAAATGTTTTGCTTATAACTGTTTGGAAGGGGGAGACAATTAGTCCTTTGAGGGCCTATCATAGAGATGGAACTTTTTGCTTAATACTGAATAGCATAGCTAAGAACCTATTGTTCATAATAAGATATATGGGGAAAGGAAACTCAAATTTCAGAATTAGAGATAGGAACTACACCAGTAATTTTATTTGTATATGGCATTCCTGGATGAAGAAGTTTCCTCTATCAAAGCAGTTTGGTGCTTTTTCACAACTTAGAATATTAGAGAATTCTCTAGTAATCACTAAGGTTAAATGATTTGTCCAGGGTCCCATAGCTAGTATGTATCACAGGTGGAACTTGAACCCAGGTTTTTGTGGCTATCCCACACTACCTTTATATACTGATTTCATTTATTCTTTAAATATACCCCTTATGTAATGATTTTCACATGCCACAAAAATTAAAACAATTCTGAAGGTTTTATAAAGGACTGGAAATTGGGAATATCTGACCTCCTTTTTCAAGGGATGCTGCCATGGAATAGGACATAAAAAGATAAGTAGGTTTTTAAAAGAAGGACTAATGTTTTGTCACAGGATTCTTAATTTTTTTTTTCTCTGGGCACTACCAGTGATTAAGAAGGGAGGAAAAATTCCACATATTCAAAAGAATATGGGTATTCACAAAAGACCCACTGAGTAGATATTATCAGAACCCAGATGACACACATTCTAAAAGGATGTATTAAGTCTGAAATAGACAAGGAAAATAGCATGTGCCACTGTTGAAGGAAAATGCAGGAAGTTTTCCAGAAATTATAATATCTTAGTTTTGGCTTAAAAATAGATTTTTAGAAATAGTCATTTAAACATTAAATGTACAATGATAAAACTAACTTTTGATTATGCACTCTAATCTGGAGAAAATCAAACATAAATAATACCATATTAATGTTAATATTTTACATGTTCATATTTAACTTTAGAATAAAAGTAAGAAAAATGACAGCAAAGTATGCTGCCTAACAACACAAATAATGACTAACAAAGTGAAATGACTTGTCTGTGGTCACATAGCTATCTACTGACTAAGTAGGAATGTAAGCCCAGGACCTGTAATGCTAAATTGACATTTAAATTGAACCAAAATTGCTTTAAGTGTTTGTAGTAAGGAGAGGTTACTTTTGGCTAGGGTGATGTGGAAAGACTTAATGGAGGTAGACACTTTAGCTGGGCATTGCAGTATGTAGGTAAGATTTTGTTAGGCAGAAAGGGAGAGGAGGCAAAAAGGCAATGATACGAACAAAGATGCAGAAGTAAAAAGTTATAATGTATATGTAGGAAACTGAATAGATTCATTCGGAACCTGTGGTTAATAAAGATGAATAGAGTTAATATTGGAAATGTGAGGTTCAGCCAAATTGAGTGAATGTAATGTTAAGGAGTCTGGACTTCATCTGACAGATAACGGTGAGCTACTGAAGATTTTTGAAGGGTGGTAGCATGGTTATATTTATGCCTTGGTAAGATTATTTTGGTAACTGTGTAGTAGGTAGATAGGATTAAATGTAAGAAAGGAGACCAGATAGGAGACTATTATTCAAGGAAGAGGTGGTGACAAGATGAACTAGGGTGTGATGAACAAAAATGTGCTTTTTGCAAGTGAATTATTTAAAATTTTAGTGTTTTTTTTTAACCTTCTAGTGAACAGAGAAAAGGTCCTGTATATACAAGACGTGGTGTGGATCTAGAACTGACAAGATTTGGCAACTGTTTGGATATGGGTGGTATTTATTAGAGAGAGGTTTCAAACCCTATGTGTCTGGAAGGGTGGTGATACTGACAACAATATAGAAATTCCGAGGTGGATTTAGTTTAAATATTTTTCAGTTTAAGTGGGGATGATGATGAATTCAGTTTTGAACATGTTGGATTTGAGGTACCAGTGGGAAATTCATGTGAAAATATCTTGCAGTTTGAGATATGGTACTGGAGTTCAGGAGAGAGATTAGGAAGGAATATATAAATTTGAGACTCATCTATATAGAGGGGATAACTAACCCCAAGGGAGCAGATGAGATCACCAGGGAGAAAGTATAGAGAGAGGAATGAAAGGCACCCATGGACAAAGCCTTGGTGGATATCTTCAGAGGATAGGAGGTAGATGATGATATGAGAAAGCAGACAGAGAAGAAATGGTCCAAAGGATAGGAGGAAAACTTAGTGTCATGGCAGTCAAGGGAGGAGAGAATATCTTGTGAAGTAGTAGCTTAACACGATCAACATTTGCCAAGTGGCTAGCTGGGCTTAGGGGTGCAGTCTGTGAACAAAGCTTCAAGGGGTTAAACCTGCAGTTTTGGTTTTATCAGCCTCATCCCTTAACCCACTGACCTACCATGAATGTAGGAACTGGATAAATTACTTAAATATTTTCAGGGGTTAAATAAATTCTTAAGGTTGTCTTAGAGAACACTCACTGTGATTTCCATTACATGGAAAATAATGATGACTTTTGGGAAATGTGCTGTATATACACAGTCATGCTTTAGAGTTTTGGATTCCCCTCTTCCTCCTCAATTTTTTTTATTGGCTGAATTCAAATGTGTAGGGTCCTGGTTAAGGCTGGGTCTAGTTTGCCACATGTCTCTGACAGAGGATGTGAAGCTCTTTGATGGAAGAGATCTGGAATTTGATGATTTAATCTATTTGACAGGTGCTGCAGCCCTCACTTCGCTTGGGAGAAGATTCATGAAAGGGTATGGGATCATCTGACCTCTCAAAAAGCCCGACAACGACTCTACCTGGTCAGTTAAATCTAGACAGTTGTTGGCAAAAGAACAACGGGCTTTTCTGAGATAACTGACTCCTGTGATCACAGGTCTCTGTGTTCATTTCATTTTTGCCTTTTTTTATTGCTGATTTTTTTTTTTAAACATCAGTCTTTTCTGGATAAGGCTTTTCTTTTGTAATGCCAAATCTTTCTGGAACAGTTGGATTAATTCATAGCTTCACTCAGAATGTCTACTAGAGTACTTTTGCTCCTGTTGTCCATCCATTATTGACCATTTCTGTCTTTTATTGTCTTTGCTCATTTGGTGGATGTGAAGTGAAGCTTCAAAGCTGGTTTCCTGTGTATTTTTCTTATTCTTAGTGATTTGAAGCATTTTTCATGCGGTCGTTGATCCTGTGCATTTTTTCTTCTGAAAATTATTCCCCGTATGTGAATAAATCAATTCAGTTTTTTCATTTACAAAATGAGAGGTTTGGACTCAGTGGACTCTGAGGTTCCTTCTGGCTCTAAGTTTATGATCTTGTGAAACTCTGTTAACACCCTTCGACCAATTATCTATTGGTTATTGAGTGTGACTGGTCTTATATTTTTGTGTCAGTTAGACCTGTATTTATGTTCCATTACCTTAAAGTCTTTTCTTTAAGATTGATATAGGATTATAATTTATCCACTTGGCCATGGCCCACTGGCCTTCATTCAAGGGCCAAAGAGCACAGTGTGAGGTAGAACAGATTTGTTTTTGCCATCCATGAAGAGGCACAACTAGTGAAAATAAAATGACAGAATGACAGAATTCTTAAGAGTTAAATTCATGGAGACTTTTTTTTGCCACTTGACTTATAAGATGATGTTTATAACCCATTGACAGAAACTCCTGATACTCCTCCTTTTGCTGAGACAGTAAGTATTCAAGTGACCTTTCACAATCTCAAAAGCAAACAAATGAGTTATTAATGGCAGTTAGTGCAACCTGAACATAACATCACAATCTAGTTAAATTTGTCCTCTGACTTTTGTGCTTGTTGATTCACCTTAGGAGTGACAGTCTTATCAAATGAACATTTTAAATGAACTTGTTCCTTTGTTCTTTGCAGGCACTCCTTACACTCATATAAAATGCATTCCTTCATATCTTCTCATCCTATGCAATTATTTTCCATGCTTTTTTCCCTATAAATCCTTCATAAAGGATTTTGACAAAGTGGAATTCTAGCTGTTTATTTCTCTTTTCACTATCTTAGAGGTAGAATGGGGCCAATGCGACATGCAGGCTGTCTAGCCATTGTTTTTTATTTTTGCTTCATGACTTGGTTGCCTCTTTTTCTGGTCATACATGTTCTTGGTGTTTCTTATTTTATTTTTCCATGTACAAGTCATCACTGGTAATAGGCCTTATTAAACCCATTGTATCTTTTCCATTGCCTTTTGGATAATTTCTCATTGTGATTCTTCTCAGATCATGGTGTTTTCTGATTCACAGACATATGATATTATTGAAAGAATACTGATCTTAAAGAAGCTGGCCTTTGTGGCAATACAGAGTTTGGAATAACTGAAAGTCTTCCAAATGCAACTCAACCTAATTTCATCCTGTTCTACAATTTTGGGCCTAGATAATTGTCTTCCCATTGTACCTGTCCAAGGGATGAACACAAATGCACAAATTTAATGGGCTGCCCCTCATAGTCTGGACAACACACATTTCCTATCTACCTTGTTTTTTTATGTGGATATTTAGACCAATCTGGTTTGCAATACTGTGAATTTTACTAAGGAAGTTTTCTCTTGTTCTGGAGTTCAATGTGATTAATACAATGTCATCTATGGTTAAGAACATTTGGAGAACTTTACCATATGTAGGGAATTCTTCTTTTGTTTTGACTTTGGGCAGCACATCTTCTGTGACACAGGCAAATACTTGAAGTGAACATGCATCTTCCTGTTTCTTAATGTCAGTACCCAGCAAATCATTAAACAAAGTTATTTTCATAATTGAATCTGTCATAAAATCTATTATGGTTTTATTGTATGTGAGGGAGACATCAAGGCTGCATTTTATTCTAGTGAGAGAAATGCATTAAAAAAGCCAATCAAAAGTAAATCGTGGTTATGTATATATATTTATATGTATTACATGTATGTATTACATATAGTTAATGAAATAATATTTAAAGGATTGCATTTATACAAAATGGGAAAAAGCACTCTATTTCTATCATTAGGGATGTTAGAATTCTGATCCCTCAATATTAATATTCTTTTATATATGTACCTGTACTCTATTCTTTCCTACCATCATCTTCATTTTTTCATTCTCTCTTTGCTCAGAAGAAAGCTCCTTGAAAAATTTCATTATATCTATGTTATCTTTAGTCTAAGGTCCAAGAAAAAGCATTCAGCCTCATGCCTACTTTCTCTCATCTGCTCACTGTGTGTCGTGTTCCTTTCCTTCTTCCTACTCATAGGCTTCCATTACTTGTCTCTTTGGTGGTGAATCTCAGATATTTTTAGGCATGTATGGGCTAGAAGAAATCCAACTGGTTCCCTGTCTCCCACAAATGCTTCAACTTCTTAGTGACTGGTTCCTGGGTCCTAGAGTTAGATGATTGGATCTAGAGCTGGAATAATAACAACTTGCATCTGTGTAAATGCTTTAAAGTTTACAAATCCTTTCCCTCTTGACAGCTCTGTGAGGTAGTTAGTGTAAATACCATTACTCTCAAATTACTCCTACAGCTGGGGAAACAGGCTTAAGAATTTAGATGACTTGTCCAAAGTTAATAAGGGTGAGAGATAGGATTTGAACCCAGATCTTTTCTGCCTTTAAGTCTAATACATTGACTGGAAGGGACCTTAAAACCATCTAGTTTTACACATAAAGAAACTGACACTCAGTAATCCATATAGAACAGACGACAATAGGGACAGGTTCATTACCCCACACCCGTGACAGTGCATTATTTTGTTTCTTCTCTACAGTTCATGGTTTTTTTTTTTGAGACATCTATGTTGATAATATTTGCGTGAATGAATGATGGGGCTAGCCAGCTTCTGTGTTCTTTTGTAGGGAGTAACTGACTCTGAAGTTGATGCCATCTTTGGAAGAAGGACCCCCTGTTTGAGGCGCTCCCCCCAACATAAACCTTTTGAGCGCAGGCATTACTAAGTAATTGTCACTTGTATAGGTAAGCAGCTTAAGTGATCTTTTTGTCTTTCTATTTAGGCTTAATCTTGGTTGCCTAATATCAAAGCAAAATTTATAAATTTATAAAGGCTATTTGGAGAGAAATTGAAAGGGAAATAAGGATGATGACCTTTCTTTCTGTGGTATGATACTTATTATTCACAGTTATCCCAACAAGCTTTCTCCTTTGTCTTTCAACATTGACATTTGAAAAGTATTTATTATACCAACCTTGGACCACTGCCTTTTTGATCTGTACTTTGCTGTTCAACAGAAACCAAGGATTTCAGTTAATGAAATGTCATTGCAAAGAGATTCAGTTACATTCCCTTCAATTCAATGAGAGAAAATATTTATTAAGTACTATGATGCACAAGGCAATATGTTGCACATTGTAGGGGAGGAAAGATGCAAGAATGTATAGGGGCTAGTCTCTACCCTCAAGGAGTTCTCTGTCTAGTAATAAGGTAAGTATATACATTATTATAATATTGGTTACAATATGATTAAAGGCTTAGGAGAGATCAAACAGTAGCCAGAGACATTCAAGGAATAAAGGATTTCCTTTACCCTGGAATAAGACAAAGGAGTAAGGGAAAATGCTCTAGAGGATGTGACGCTGGGCTATGACCCTGTGCTCTTCAAAATTTTTATCAAGGACTTGAATTAGGGCAGAGATGGCATTTTTTGTCAGATTTGTAGATGACCCAAAGCTGGGAGAGACAGCTAACATGATGGAAGGTCAGGGTCAAAAAGGAAAAGTTAAAATTATGGAACAAATCTAACAAGTTGAAGTTTAATTGGGATAAATGTAAAGTTTTCTGCTTAGGTTTAAGGAATCAGCTGCAAATGTACAGGATGGAGAAGTGAAGCTAAACAACAGCTTGTGGGATTTGAATGGACTACCAGATTCATGAGTCAGCAATGTGGTTTGGCAGCCCCAAACCCTAATACCCTGATGCAATCTTAGGCTGCATTAAGATGTAGTGGCCAGAATAAACCACTTGATAGTCCTGCTGTACACTGTGCTGATCAGACCACATCTGGAGGACAGTGCAAAGTTTTGGGTACCACATTTTAAGATGAACATAGGAAATTTGCCAAGAGAAGTGCACCCAGAGTCATAAGGGAACTAGACACCATGCCACATGAGGAACATGCTGCAGGAGAATCTGTTGAAGGAACTGGATGGAGATTTTCACTTGGAATAGAGAAGATTTATCAGGAACTCCATAGCTATCTTCAAGTATCTGAAGGGCTGTCATACGCAAGGGGAATTAGGTATGTTCTTCTTGACTCCAGAGGGCAGAAATAGGAACAATGGGTGGAAGTTACAGAGAAGCAGACTTAGACTTTTTCTGAGTAAAACTTCCTAACAATTAGAGTTGTCTAAAAATAAAATTAGTTGCCCCCTGCTCTTAACACAGTGCTCAGCACACAGTAAGCAGTTAATAAATGCTTGTTGATTGACTTTCCACACCTTTGAGATTTATTTGGGTCTCACTTGTGCTCTATGAGAAACCTAAAGGTACAAAAATTGTCCAGTCTAGTTAAACATATTGGCTGTGGCAATAGCCCTTCTTCTTCCTTAAACTTCCTTGGTAATAATGGCATGTGAAAGTTCTGGAGTAATTAAGATAGTATGTCTTTCCTATGTCTAGGATGCTCATGCAGGCATGACACTTGCCTTGTGAGCAATCCAAACTGTATAAAGCTTAAAATTCAATCAATTTAGTTAAACCTGTTGGCACTACTGGCAGCCTTTCCTATTCAAATAGTCTGTTGAGAATGCTAGAAACGTAGTTTGCCTGCTTTCTAGTAAGACTTTTGTAAAAATGTCTTATGCTAGTCTTGTGGAGAAGATGGAGAGATGTAAATTAGACTATTATATAATTAGAAGGTTTCATAACTGTTTGGATGGCCAGACTTAGAGAGTAGTTGTTAGTGGTTCAATGTCAATGTGGCAGGAATCTCTATGGGTATACTCTGGGGATTTGTGCATGGCCCATACTGTTTAACATTGGTATAGGTGGCATTCTCATCTGATTTGCTGTTGACACAAAATAAAGAGGGATAGCTGGATGATAGAGTCAGGATTCAAAAAGATTTAATAGGCTAGAGCATTGGACTGAATAAAATAAAATGAAATTCAGTAGAGATAGATAGATATGATGTTTTAAATTTAGGTGAAAAGTTCAACTTCACAAGTATAAGATGGGAGTAGCATGGTTAGAGAACAGTTATTCTGAAAATATTTTTTGAGAGGGTTGTTGACTGCAAGCTCATTATGAGTCTGAAGTATCATGTGGCAGTCAAAAAAAATCTAATGAGTTTGGGCTGCATTAAGAGAGGCATAGCTCTTAGGAATAGGGAGTTGATAATTTCATTGTACTCTGCCATTGTCAGACTTCATCTGCAGTAGTCTGAATGGACTTTTAGATGCCACAGCTTAAGAAGGGTATTGATAAGCTAGGGAGTACCCAGAGGAAAGCAACCAAGATGGTACAAAGCCTGTAATTTATGTCATATGATAATCAGCTGAAGGAACTGGGCAAGGTTAGCTTGAAGAAGAAAAGACTGTCACATGGAGGACAGCTAGGTGGTGCAATGTATAGACATGTTCTGTTTAGTCAGAGGGCAGAGCCAGGAAGAATGGGTGGAAGTTGCAAAAAGGAAAATTTAGGCTTCTTAAACTTCCTAACAGTCAGAGCTATCCAAACATTTAATAGGCTGCCCAGAGAGGTGGTGGGTTCCTCCACCTTTGGAAGTCTTCAAGCAGAATCTGGAGGAGCTTTTACACGAGATGTTAAAATGAGGTTTCCTTTTGGTCTGCTGGGAAGCCTTTCAAACCTAAAACTCTGTGATTCTATAATTTGTGAGTTCACAATGGTGGTACAAATGCAGCTCAACTCTAGTAGTCATATATCCAACATTTGTGCTGAACCAGCTAGCTACTTATTATTACCTGCCACAGCAGCTGGCCTTGGTGCTGGCCTTGGTGCTGACTGCTTCTAAAACATTGCTAACGATACCTCAATTTCTGCCAAGCTAAAGTTACAGTTCCATTGGTTGTCCTACTCCTTTAGTCTTTTAAAGAAGGTGAGGGTTCCATTTCCATCTATGTTTCATTCTTGAGTTAGTCATCCTCCACTAACTGATTCTTTGTATACTTACCATTGATTTTTCTTCATCTTTCACTATCCAGATAAAATCTGTAATTATCAGACCAGCCACAAAGCTCTGGGGTCCTTCTTATGAGTTAGAGTGTCAGATTTCGACTACTTGGCTCATTAACATGTTCAAGCAGCCCTAACCACCCTAATCCAATAGATTTCCTATCATTGTCTCAGGTCTCTATAAAGAGAAATTTTGATCTTTTACAATCTGAATTTTGGTCTCCTAGGAATGCATCTTCTATCTATAATAGAGTCAATATGGAATGCTGTCCTCCATAGTATTTCCACTTAATTCATTGTTTCTGCAGAACCAACTAAAGATCCATGTGGTGTGCTTGCATATGGTAATAGTGGCTCTATCATTATTGTATTTCATTTTCTCAGCTTCAAAATAACAGTGAGAAATTCATTACTTTAGAAATTTTATTCATTTCATTGAATATCTATTAACATGTTCTCTATGGGCACTGGGAATTCAGAGATACAATACACAGTTCCCCACTCTCAAGGAGTTTATAATCAAGTACACCAAGACAAATCCATAGATGACTATAACATAAATTAGAATTTGATAGATCAATAGGAGTGGTCCAGAGTAGTGTCAGAGATGACAAGGGACAGGTTCTTATGGCTTGGGGATGGTTGGGAATCAGGGAAGGCCTAATGGAGGAGATAGACTGTCATGTGGGCCTTAAAGGAACATTTCAGCTGGTGGATTTGTCATGCATGAGGGCAGGGAGTCCAAAGTCACAAAAGTGAGAAAATGCAGGACAAGATCGGGTCTTGGGCAAGTGGTCTGGTTTGATTGGAGTACAGCATATGTGAAATAGAGTATTGGAAAAGAGGGCTATAGTCAAATCATGAAGGGCTTTCAGGGTCCAACTAAAGAGGTTATAGTTTTTTGGTAAAAAATGAGAAGCTACTAAAAGTTTTTGAGCAGATGATGGATGTAATCAGACATGAATTTTAGGAATATTAATTTGACAATGATATGAAGGTTGTATTGGGGAAGGAAGACAGGAGGCAAGGGAAAAAAGAGACCTGTTAGGAAGACACATAAGGACTCCAGGTAAGAGGTAAGGAAGAATTAGAACCAGATGCTTTTTTGCTAGTAGCAAGGTAGCACAGGGGAGAGAGAACTTGGCCTGGAATCAGGAAGACCTCAGTTTAACTCCAGCTTCAGACACCTGGGCAAATCACTTAACCACTGTCTGCCTCAGTTTCCTCAACTGGAAAATGGGGATAATTAATAGCACTTACCTCACAGTATTGTTCTGAAGATCAAATGAGATAAAAATTTTAAAGCGATTAGCACAGTACCTGGAACATGGTAGATGCTATATAAATGCTTGTTCCTTTCACTCATGTTCTCTACCCTCTCCCTATTCTGCTAAGAAATTATACTTCTGGAGAAGATTAGTATAAAGAATAATATCCTTCAAATTGAAGGGAAAAAACCTTCAGTAAAAACCCTCTGAAGTAGAAATTTATTCAGGAGTTTGCTGACCTCATAATTCTCCACCTTGCCAACTCCTTGTACTCCAAAATTGGTTAATATTCTTGGACAAAGAATGCAAAGGGATGATTACTTCTCCAACTTGCTTTTGAGTTCCAAACCTGGAACAGAAATAGAGAAATTGGGTGGATGGCAGTTTTGTAGGGAATATAATGATTCCAGTTTTAAACAAATTGACTTTACTAGACCAGTGAGACATCCAGGAAATTAAAGGCATGGAAATAGAAAGGTTGAGTTTGGAAATATTAATTTTGGAATAATTTGTATAGAGAATTTAATTGATGTCCCAGAAGTTCGATTAGGTTGTCAATGGAGAGATTGTAGAGAGAAAAAACGGTGACTGTGGATGGAGCTTTGGGGTCTGCCTACACTTCAAGGGATGAGGAGAAAGAGGAGCTGTGGAGGAAAGTGGAAAAGGATCTCACAGCATAGGAAAAAAGTTAGGATTGGAGTATCATAAAAGCCCTTCAGTGTCAGGAAGCACAAAAGTTATAGTTTGCTTATTAGATTGTAAATTCCTTTTATATGTTGTACCCTCAACACCAAGCAAGGGAGGCCTTGTACATAATAGGCACTAAATACATTTATATTGAATCAGAAAAAAAAATAGACATTATAGCTATGATAGTGATTTTTTTCATCCTTTTAGATGTATGTGATCATTTTGAAGAGCACTAAGGTAGGTGCACCTTAGTTCAAACTCCTTACTGATCTCATTCCCCTATATATGTTAATCATACCTATTTCAGTTAGGTGCAGAGGTTTTACTTTCCTTGAATATAGAACTCCTTTATGGGTTCTATGCCTTTACCTGAGCTGCCCTTAATGCACAATCTAGCCTCTTACCTCCATTTTGGCACCTCCATGATAGTTAAAAAAGCATTTATTGAATACATAGAGCAAACGTACCAAACCACCATTAAACTCAGCTAGAAAACTGGTTCCCCTTAGTTTTGCCATTCCTAATCTACCACTCACATGTATGTACTAATAAAGAACATAAGAAAGACCAGATTGGTCCCTCTTTTTCTAGATTTAAACTTTTCAAAGGGCAAGGATTATTACAGATTACATGGGCTATTCCCAAGTAATTTTCAAGCTAGAAATTGTCATTGACATGGTGGATTCTTTTTTTCCAGTTTTTTTTTCCAGTTTTCCCTTCACTATCTTTATCTTCCACCTCCTGTGTCTGGCTCAGATTCCCAACTACCTGAAACATGTAACAGAGAAGTAGGGAAAGCAAGGCCACTAGAAAACATCACAATTTGTAACTTAGAAAGGTGGGGGTCACAGCAAGACTATCCTTCACACCTTAAAAAGTCAGGCAGCACAAAGACTGGTGAATTTAGGGTCCAGAGACCACTTCTATCCCAGTGCTGCCATTTATTCCCTGTATGACCTTGGGCAAATCCCTCAACATCCCTAGCTCTCAGTGTTCTCACCTGTAAAATGATGAGATGACCCCTAAGGACAACTAAAGTCAACAAGTGTTTAGTAAGCACCTGTGTTCAGCACTGGGGTAGTTCTGCTTCTGGGAGCCAAGTCGGCAAAGTAAGAAGTTGCTCTCACCCTCCCTTATTAACCTCTGAAAGCCCAGAAAATACTGCCCCAGGAAAAACCCTAAAACAGTTGAACCAGCAGAAAGACGAGGTGCAGCAGTACGGTAGCCCAGGTAGCTTGAGGGATTAAGGGGAAAGGCCCCTCTTGTATTAGGGGAAGGGGGGCAGTACAGAACAGGAGGTGTCCCAGCAAGCTAGAGGAAAGTCCCACCTCAGCATACTAGGAGGAGATCCTGAAACCCAGGTGGTGGAGCAGGCAAACACCAACACCAGGACCCTCAAGTGCCTCAGTAAGGGCAGGGGAACCAGTGGTAACTGGCTCAAAAAACCATGTGCTTCAGCATTCTACAGCAACCAAGTCTCTCAGTGCCTCAGCAAAACTCTGGGAAGTGCTCCAAGGGTTCCCCCTAGGTGGAGAAACATCCCATAGCAGCGAAACATCCACCTGAAAGGAGCCAAAGGAAGCAAAAGGCAGGAAAGGTCCAGGTTAGTAGGCAACCTCCAGGGGCCAGACTACCCCTAGAGTCCCAGTGTTGCTGATTACAGCCCAGTACCAGGTAAGCTGCCAGAACCCTACAGCCTCCAACTGCCAGCATTGGAACCCCCAGCACACAAAGCTGGTGACCAGGCTCCCAACACAAGAAGCTTGGGTTAGCACCCCCTGCTTCCCAGCAGGAGAGCTCAATCTTTTTAAAGGCCAGGAAATAAAGAAACATGATGAGCAAAAAAAATGTACTATAGATTCTCATTTTGTGGGAATAGTGAACATCAAGGCAGAAATTCTGAAGAGGACAACGTTGTCAACAAACCCACATCTGGAACCTCAAAAGGGACTATGAACTGGTATGAAGCCCAAAAAGCCTTCTTGGAAGAGCTCAAGAAGGATTTTAAAAGTCAAATAAGAGAGGTAGAAGAAAAATTGGGGAAAAAAATGAGGTATGCAAGAGAGAGTCAATAGCTTGGAAAAGGAACGACAAAAATTAACTGTAGAAAACAAGTCCTTAAAAAATACAATTGGTCAACTGGAAAAAAGTACACTGAAGAAAACAAATCCTTAAAAAATACAATTGGCCAAATGGAGAAGGAGGTACAAAGCCTCATTGAAGAAAACAATTTGTTAAAAATTAGAATTGGGCAAGTGGAAGCTAATGACTCTGGGAGAGAGTGAGAATCAGTCAAACAGAAACAAAAGAATGAAAAAATAGATGAAAACGTAAAATACCTCATTGGTAAAACAACTGACTTGGAAAATAGATCCAGGAAAGACAATTTAAAAATTATTGGCCTACCTGAAAACCACAATGAAAAAAAGAGTCTGGGCAGCATCTTTCAGGATATCATCAAGGAAAACTGCCCTGAGGTCCTAGAACCAGAGAGTAAAATAACCATAGAAAGAATCCACCAATCACCTCCTGGGAAGAGATCCCAAATTGAAAACGCCAAGGAATATAGTAGCCAAATTCCAAAATTATAAGGTCAAAGAGAAAATACTGCAAGCAGCCAGAAAGAAACAATTTAAATATCATGGAACCACACAGGATCTTGCAGCTTCTACTTTAAAATATCGTAGGGTGTGGAATATGATATTCTGTAAGGCAAAGGAACTTGTATTACAACCAAGGATCAACTACTCAGCGAAAATGAGCATAATCTTTCAGGGGAGGAGATGGACATCCAATGAAATAGGGGACTTCCAAATCTTCCTGATAAAAAGACCAGAGCTCAACAGAAAATTTGATCTTCCATTACAAGACTCAACAGAGACATAAGAAGGTAAATGGAACAGGAAAAAAACAACAACATGTGTTCAGCACTGGGGATTTAAAGAATAGCAAAAGCAATCTCTGCCCTCATTGATAAGTTCACATTTGAAAAAGGGAGCATTAAGAGGGATCTAAAAAGTCTTCCTGCAGAAGGTAAGATTTCAGGTGAGATTTGAAGGAATCCAGGGAACCCAGGGGACACAGAGAGAGCATTCCAGGTATGGGGAAAAGCCAGTGTAAATCTGTGATCCTATAAAGGTCACAATAAACCATCGTAGATTACAGCTTAGATGAGGGCCACTAGCAACCATCATGGACCATAACTTTGAAAACATTATGCCAGATTGCTAGAATCATAGAGCATTCTAACCAGAGAGACCTTAAAGAAAAATTTAATCTCTTTTCAGAAATGAAGAAACCGAAGGCCAAAGAAGTTAAGTTAATTGCCCAAGGACAAATTGCTAGGAAGGTCACAGGTTAAGCACAGCATACAGTTCAATATTGCTCTGATATCAACATTAAAATGTTGTAATAGTTTTAATGTATTTCAAAAAATAGAATAAAACTTGATGGCTGAGTTAGGAATATGAAATAGATAATGTACTATCTCATATTTAATTCTGATCTGACTCCTAAATGTCTAGCCTTATTGTCATTGAAGTCCAAGGTAACTTCCTCAGTTGCCACGTGGGGCTTCCATCAGTTTGGTGTACAGAAACAGTAAGATAGTTCCATGTTCTGCAACTTTCCTGATTAGAATGTTCCACTTGGAAGATTAAAGGACAAATTCTGGGTCACTCCATCTTTGGTTTCAAAAATAACCATCCAGGGATTTATTAGGTAGTTACACAGAACATAGCTTATAATTACCAAGTTAAGTAACTGAGACTTGCCAAATTACACCATAACCTGCTGTTATAACTCATGAAATTGGCACATAATGCTCTGTGCTTGGTGTATAACTAATCAAGGAGGGGTGTTGGAGAGAAAGAGTTTGCCACATGGCACTTTGTCACACTTTTAGAAAAAAATTTAGACAAAATAAGGTTACCTCAAAATCCCAGCTCTAAAATAATTGATCTTTCAATAATTAGTAAACAGTGCCTTGAACATATCAAGAACTTAGTATCTATTTGTTGAACCAAATTGACTTGGAATCTTCAGCCAAATTGAGAATCTACTGGTAGGGAGAGAAAAATGAACATTCCAGGAGAAGGTGGGATGAAAATCACTTATTTTGTTTCTGAAAAATACAAGGCATGGGAAAAGACTGGACAGGACCCTGGGAGTATTCCTTTTCTTATTGCTCATACATGGCTGCTGCACATAGACAGGAAAGTCTTTGGCTGGACACAGAATTTCTGAACCAGGCAAGTTGTCTTAGATTGAGGGCGATAAACTGGGAAAAGGGGGCCTACAGGTATTCCTTACACATAACAGATAATGAATTCAATTTAATTAAATACTTTTCCCCCCTATGCAAATATCCTAAAGCTTTCCTCTGATGTCCCATTGTGACATGGAAGGATATGCCAGCAGAGTGCTAACTCTCATAGGTTCCACCAACCTAGAAAAGCTTAGGTTAGGACCCACCAATGGTGGGGCTGTCTGTTGTCTGAGGGACCAAGTGACTGTCTGTGTTAGCCAAGCAATGACTAGCCTAGTTAAGTGAAAAGAAGATAATGGGGAAGGATTTTTTAAAGGGGGGGGGAACACAACTATGTCTTAGGCATGGGCAGGGAGCACGTTTGACATCTGTAAAGGGAATGAATGCTCACACCAATGACCTCATGAATTCCTGAAGCTTTGAAATAAGGAAGTAAATATTCTGTACTCTTAGTGATTTTTATGTTTTTTCTCCTTCCAGGACTCTGTGGTGGATTATGGTGTTCCTAACTGTAAAGTGAAAAATGAATGAGAGCAATAGGGGGAGCTTGAAGAACTCATTTAAAATAACAGTACATGCACTCATGTTATCTCTAACAAGTCATCTTGTTCTGTCTGTTTCCTTTGAATGCAATCCTGTACTCTGTATTTTTACCAGGTAAGAGTTATTGATTAAAATGATTGGAGTTTGGGGCTTACATTTTTAGTGTCAATTTAGATTTTTTTTTTTGATGAGGAGCAATGAAATAAGAACAAACCATGATAACATGGTAGGACAGACACTGGCATTAATGAAAAGCAGATTTTCTGAGTAATGTTGTTAGAATGGTTGAGACAACAGTACACGTGTACCTCTCTTTAGGTAATAGATGTATATCTTTCAAATGTCAATCCCATTTTTATAAGTTGAATTGTATTTTAGGCATAATAGGACTGCTCGTTCCTCCAGAGAAATCCTGTAGTGAATCCTATCTTTAATGCGGAGGCAGTATATGTGGTATAATGGAACTTCCAACTTTTATGACCTTTCCCTGACACCAACTCCTTGGATGGCTTTAAGCAAGTCATTTCATCTCCAACCCAGTTTACTTCTCTGTCCAATGTGGGGCTTGCACTACATGCTTCCCAACTTCCCTTCTGTCTCGAAATCTAGACCTAGGTTCAAATCTCAGCTCCAGTACTTGCTAACTCCATGACCATGAGCTAAGTACTTCATTTAAGCCTCAGTTTCTTTATCTGTAACATAAGCATAAGGCTATTGCCAAAGTCCCATGCATTTAGTAATTTTAGGTGAACCAAAAGCCTTCTCTTCAGTAATCCTATGACATAGGTAGTACAAATATTTTTATTCCCATTATACAGAGTGGGAAGCTAAGGCTCAGAATGGTGAAATCACTAATCCATGGTTATACAACCAGTGTCAGAGTGAGAGGGAACTTGTACCTCCTAATTCCAAGTCTCAGGGCTCTTTCTGCTATGCTGCGCTAGCTGTATGCCACCTACTTCACAGGGCTATTGTGGAGAATGCACTTTGTGAACTTTAAAACACTATGTTAATATGAATGAAGAACAGTACTAGTAATTTGGATTTTCATGTATCTGATATACTTGAAGTGAGGTACTCCTGTATTAAAAGTGTACAATTATAGGAATCACAAGAGTTCATGCCATCTATAAAGTCCAGTTGCTCCTTTGAAGTCAGAATTCCCTCCTGACATATTTGTAAAATGAGGAAAAACAATTCCCTTTCCTATACTATTGTCTAAGCTGAGATGGATGGTTGGACCACTCTTACATTTCTCAGAAGCTCAAACATTTCTCTACATGAGCAGCTGCAGAGCAGTGGGATTCTTCAGACATGTCCCTCAGAGCAGGGTTTTCAGGGAGTGGATGGGGCATCCTTTCCTGAATGCCATTCAGGAGGTGATGCATAAGTATATGTCTGCATGGCATCACCACTTGTAAAGGGAAACCATCTTCTTCACTTCCCTTTATGATACACAGAACTCCCTCCTAGCATTTTAATTGAGCAACAAATCCTTTTCTCCTCTTAATGGATCTATTCCTTCCGAGGTAAATTAGAAAAATGCTCCCCTTCCAGTCTCTGCCCCCAGACCCATTCATCTTCGTCCTGAAATTCAGCATCATAATTAGCTTACACTTATTTAGGTAGCTAGAGCTTTAAGATTTGCAAAGTATTTTACCTCCATTATCCCATTGTATCCTTATAGCCACCCTATGAGTTATGGGGCGGTGGGGAACAGTTGGTTTTATAATACCTCATTTTACCGATGAGAAAACTGAACCTCAGAGAAGTTAAGTTCATAGAATCAATCACAAGATTGTAGATCCAAAATTGAAAAGGGCTTCAGAGACCATATAGTTCAGCTCCTTATTTTACAAATGAGGAAACTGAGTCCCAGTGAAGTTAAGTAATTTGCCACCAGTGAGTGATGGATTCAGAATTCAAACTCACATGTTCCCCGAATGCAAGAATATATATTTCCAACTACACTATGTTCTTTACCAGCCCTAGATTAAATTATTGGAATGAAGTTTATTTCTGTATTATTTTAAAATCCTCTATTTCTTTTGAGTTTCAATTATTTTGCAATCATCATGTAAATATGCTTCAAAATGGAACATAATGTATAAACCAGTTAAGGGCTCCAGAAAAATCCTAGCAAGGGCATGAATTGCTTAAAAATGGGACTTTTATTAACTGTAGAGAACCAGGTGAAAGTAATGGACATCTCATTTCACCTATAACCATATTTACATCATGTAATTATAACATTTAGTTCTCTTCATTGTTTATGCATAATGCCTAAATTTCATGTAGGGACAACATTTATTGTCCATATTGTTAAAAATTGCCATTATTTTTTAAAAACGCTAAATCAGCCAAAAATTTAAGATTTTGTAACTTTCCCATTTAACTAACTCTCTTTTAAATGTCTTCTTAAAAGAATTCACATCAAGATTTTTGGTCATGTTTTCTTTTTGGGGAGCAATATTTGTTTCAGTTTCTTTTTGTGTATGTAATAACTGGATGATTTTATGAAGTGGTGGGATTTGGATTGTTTTGTGAGAACTGATGATTAATAAATGGAAAGGAAAAAACCCTCATCTTCTTTCTTCATTTATTGATTCTTTCCTTAATTTTTATCACTGTCACTTACTTAGTACAGTGCCCATCCCATTGTAAATGCTTACTAATTGCTTATTGCTTGCCTGCCTGTCAGGTCGTTATATTTCTAAGTAAATATACACACGAGCATGTATATGCTTAATGTCCAGCCTTTCTATTAGAAGCACAAATCTTTTGGGGTCATAGTAAAGACAGAAGGTTTTCATTGGTGTAACTGGATTTTTTTTTTTCTCTGAAATTTCATTTCTTCTCAGCAGAACAAGGAGCCACCAGTCTAATCTCAGATAGGATGAATTCCACCTGTGCTAGATTGTGAGCTAAATTGTGGGCAGGTACCATGTCTAAACTATTTTTTATTTGTTGGTCTGTCCCCTGGCTTCCAGTATAGTGCTTTGAAATAGGACTTAACAAAAAGTTGATGAGTAAATAAATAGGTGAATTATGTACTCAACATGATACTTCTTAGTCCTACTAATAGCTGTCATTTACATATTGCCGGGAAGTCTGTACATTGCTATATAAATGTTAGGTTCTATTTTTTAAGAGGCATCATCATATAACATTTAGAGTGAAGATGAGAATGGAACACGTTTCAATTACGGGGGCTGGTTCAGTCTTCACAGATTCACAAAGGTGAGACATGAAATGGTAAGTATGGGACAGCTAGGTGGCAGTGAATGGTTAGTATGTTGGACTTGGAGTCGGCAACACTCAAATTCAACTGAAGAAACTTACTCTGTGACTTTAGGTGAGTCACTTAACCACCTTCAGCCTCAGTTTCCTCATCTGTAAAATGGAGATAATAATAGTACCAGTTCCCAGGATTGTGGAATAGATCAAATAAGATAATGTATATAAAGAGCTTTAGAAAGCTTTCTTTGTTGTTGTTTTTGTTCAGTTGTTTTGACTGTGTCTGACTCTGTGACCCCATTTGGGGTTTTCTCAGCAAAGATACTGGAGTGGTTTGCTGTTTCTTTCTCCAGCTCATTTTATAGATGAAGAAACTGAGGCAAACAGGGGTCACACAGCTAGTAAGTATCTGAGGATTTGAACTTAGCCTCCAGGCATAGCACTCTATCTACTGTGCTACCTCTCTGCTCTAGATAAGAATTATTTCATCCTTGTTCCCACAACTCCAATTCTTAGAACCAATTAAATGTATCTCCTACATGAATGCCACCCAGCTAAAACAGGTGTGGCATTTATCTAGGCCTAAGGAATCAAATAAGTTACTATGGGTTTCTTGTTCATTTTAGATTCCTCATTATATAATTATATTCATATTATATATATATATACATATATATATGTCTATTAAACTATCTATTAAAGGGATTCCCCTCTCTCTCTCTCTCTCTCTCTCTCTCTCTCTCTCTCTCTCTCTCTCTCTCTCTCTCTCTCTCTCTCTCTCATATGTTATTTAATGTAATAAATTGCATCTTGTAACTAGGTGGTATAATGGAGATACCAATGGACTTAGAGTCAGGAAAACTTGAGTTCAAATCTGGCCTCATGCTCTTATTAGCTGTATGACCCAGAACAAGTTACTTCACTTCTGTTTGCCTCAATTTCTTCAACTGTAAAACAGGCATGACATTAGCATGTACATTACAAGGTTGTTGTGAGGATCAAATGAGATAATATTTGTAAAGCCTTTAGTACCATGCCTAGTACGTTATAAATGCTTATTTCCTTCCTAATTCTTAAGTCATTTAATAAATCACTGGATAATTTCTAGCACAGTAAACTTCTAGAGGCAACACTAAAAGTAATAATAGTCATGGTATTTTTAGTTTTAGGCAAGGGTTTAAAATTTTTTTATTGATATGTTTTTCTGCCATCTTCATATCTGAATGTATCATACCCCCTACCCCTGCCCAGGGAGCCATCCCTTGTAATAATAAAAAGAGAAAGAGGGAGAAAAATCAGTTCAGCAAAACAATCCATAGATTGAAAGTCTATGGATTATTTCACACCCTTAGTCCCTTAGCATCTTTGCAAAGAAGGGAAGATGGCAGTAATTTCCCCACTTTTCCTGGAAGCCACCTTTGATCATTGTAATTGTATAGAATTCAGGGTTTTGATGCTGTTTTTTCCATTTGCCAGGTTGTAGTCATTCTTCGTATTGTTTTCCTAGTTACATTTATTTCACTTGTCATTAGTCCACATCTTCTTATGTCTCCTGAATACTTCATAGTTACTGTTTCTTACAGCATGGTAAAAGTACATTCATGTTGCACAGTTTGTTGGAGCCATTGTCTAATCAATAGGTACTTTGCTTCTTCTTCTCTTTTTAGAATTTGTTGAGAGCCATTTTTTTACAGGTATTTGGAGGGGTTTGGGAGAGAGCTCAAGCAAGTCACTGCTTTTACTCTGCCATCTTCCCTCTTAGTCTTCTTGTCAGCTTCTTCTTTAACACTTACAAAAATGCTGCTATGACTAATTTGGTATTTATGAGGACTTTCTGATTTTGATCTGTTTGGAATATATGCCCAGCAGTGGATCTCTAGGTCAAAGGATATGGATACATTAGTCACTTTTTAAAAATAAAAATAGATTTTCATTGATCTTTTGGTTTTATTTTACCCAAATTTCCCCCTATGTTCCTTCCTTTCCACTCTCACAGAGAGCCATCCCTTATAACAAAAAATTAATAAAAACAAGAGAAAAAAATCAGCCAAACTGATCAACACATAAAAAAAAATCTTATATGCAGTACTCCACACCCACAGGCTCCCACCTCTGAAAATGAGCAGTTCGAGAGGTAAGTTTCTTCTGTTATCATCTCTGTTCTCCATAGTTTCACAACAGAAAGTTTTGATTCTTTTATGGTAATTGTACTTTCCATTTCCATTGTTGTTATCACTGTCCATATTATTTCCTTGGCTCTGCTTACTTTACTTTGAATAGGTTCACATTCTTGGCACCCCTCCCTTTTCCTCCTTCTTTCCTGTTTCTCTATATTCATCATGTTCCCTGTTTCTTTCTTTCTTTCTTTCTTTCTTTCTTTCTTTCTTTCTTTCTTTCTTTCTTTCTTTCTTTCTTTCTTTCTTTCTTTCTTTCTTTCTTTCTTTCTTTCTTTCTTTCTTTCTTTCTTTCTTTCTTCTTTTTCCTTCTTTCCTTCTTTCCTTCTTTCCTTCTTTCCTTCTTTCTTTCTTTCTTTCTTTCTTTCTTTCTTTCTTTCTTTCTTTCTTTCTTTCTTTCTTTTTTTTTGCGAGGCAATTGGGGTTAAGGGACTTGCCCAGGGTCACACAGCTAGGAAGTGGCAAGTGTCTGGTCTGAGACCAGATTTGAACTCAGGTCCTCCTGACTCCAGGGCCAGTGCTCTATCCACTGTGCCACCTAACTGCCCCAATGTTCCCCATTTCTTATAGCACAGTAAAATGCCATTACATTCTGGTACCACAACTTGTTTATCCATTCCCTAAAGGATGGGCATCTATTTTGTTTCTAGTATTTTGCTACCATAAAAGTTCTACTATAAATATTATGGTCTTTATGGAGACTTTCTTCTTAACAATGACCTGTTTAGGGCTATATGCCTACTGGTGGAATCTCTGGGTAAAAGGGTACAGACATTTTAGCCACTTAGATTATTTCCCACTTGGACCAATTCACAATTCCACCCACAGCATAATTGAGTGTTTATCTTTTCTCTGCCTCTCAATACTATTTCCATCTTTTTTTCTCCTTATTTTTGGAGGGACCAATTTGCTGGGGGTGAGATGAAATCTTAAAGATGTTTTGATTTGCATATCCAAGCTTTCCTCCTTAGAAAAACAAACAAAATAAAAACCATCTTTAACATCAGTGTTTTTCTGATACTTTATGAGAAAAGTAGCCATGTATAGTGGCTAGGCCTTTCATGCTGGTTCTATTAAATGAAATACGCAGAATTGGATCTAATTCATCTTAGCCCCCTTGGCCAGCTGCAGAATCAGGAGACCTACATTCATGTCCTTTCATAGAGTGAAAAGATGTAATTGGGTTGGGTTTTATAGCCTGGAGGGAGTTCCTACATTTGTGGGATCTTACAACCATTGAAGTATTAAAACATACATGCTATGCTTTAGAGCTAGAAGAGATTTCAGAGAGCATCTGGTACATTCAGCTCCTTTTATAGATGAGGAAACTGAGGTACAGAGGGGTCACAGTAAATGACTTACTTGAGGTCACTGAAGTCATAGCAAGTGATAGAACCAGGACTTGAACCTATGTCTTAGTGCTCTGGATCTCTTTCTCTTTCTACTTAGTGGATGCAGTGCTGGGCCTCAAGTGAGGAAGACACTTAGTAGTTGTGTGACCCTAGGCAAGTGACTTAATGTTGTTTGCCTCAGTGTCCTCATTGGTAAAATGAGCTGGAGAGGGAAATGGCAAACCACTCCAGTTTGTTTACCAAAAAAATCCCAAATGGGGTCACAAAGAGTTGGAGACAACTGAACAACACAACAGAGATGTCCTAGATATCATTAAGTTTGCTTCAATCTATGATGCTTACTGTGTATATGGAGGAAAGGGGAGGGGTGCCAAGTCCATAGACTGTGTCTCAGCGTCAAGTTAATTTCTTAATGAAATTTGTGGCTGATGCTAGATGGTGACATCAAAGCTTCATAGCAGTGTATTTAGTCATTTTTCAGTCATAACCAACTCCCTGGAACCCTATTTAGGGTTTTCTTGGCAAAGAAGCTGGAGTGGTTTGCCATTTCCTTCTCCAGCTCATTTTACAGATGAGGAAACTGAGGCAAATAGGGTTATGTGACTTGCTCAGGGTCACACATATAGTGTCTGAGGCCAGATTTGAACTCATGAAAATGATTTTTCCTGATTCCAAGCCTGGTGCTCCATTCACTGTGCCACCCTCCCTAGCAGCAGCCTATCTAGAAAGTCTCAATTTGAGAGGCTATTACTATTTGACATTTATTTAGTGTCAACCAGGGGCAAGGTGCTAAATAAAATATAGAGT